CATCCGTATCAGGAGAGTACGAGACACCGAGCTCGTACTCTGTGAAGACACGAGTGTCTTCATGACCAGCGCCTGCATCACCAGGTGATACAGGCTGAGTCGATTCAGCAACCGATGGGACATCAGTTGCTGTAGTTTCTGCTTCGGCGTCCGCACAGAGACGTGCAGACGCGCTCTCGGCGGCCTTGCTCGCGCATCGCATGGGCTTGTTTACCATGCGATGAGATGTTGGAAAGTGGACGCGGACCAACAAGTGCAAAACCCCGTCCCAAATGATTTGGGACGAGTATCCATTTAGTCAATCAGTCACTAAAGTGACTGATGGTTAAGGGGGGGTGATGTAACGGGGTGAATCGTTACATAACAATTTATAAGAAATTGTTAATAGAATATAACTATAAGAGTTATATTCTCAGAATATTGTCATAAGGACAAATATTCTGTAGCACTTCCAAGTAGTTCCTAATTGGTTGATATAGGCCATTATATCAACCAACGAAGACGCGCCACGACAGACGCACGCAATGAGTGGTGAGCAGATAACTGATTTACACATTTGTATTTAGACATAGTTAGATGAAGATAAATAGTGATTTATTGCAGACATTAACTATTATAAATACAGTTCTACTTTTTACTCTAACCGAGTACTCGCTTCTTCTTACCGTCTTCCTCTGCACGTACGAGTGTACGTGAAGTTACGAGGCACCGCCTTATTCTGTTATCAGAATAAGTAGCTTGTACTGCCACCAGTACAAGCTTCAGGGTACCCCGTTACACTTTCGGTTTCAGCGAAAACCATTGTCGACTGATTACCGGTTGCGTACTCGACTTCCGCGACGAGTACGCAAATCTGCTTGACTTTGCCACTACGCAGATCACGCAAGAGCATCTTCTTCTCGAGCGTAGGTAATTGAGAGATCTCCAAAGTTGTCTTTGTGCGCGATCAGATCAATTTGGTAAGTGCCTATACTTGATCCGTCATTGACCAGGACATTTAATGTCTCAGTCATCTCCTGGAGAATTGTTTTCACAGTTGGGTGGAGCTTATTCTCTCACGAGCCTCTTGTATTAAATCATCATGACACGATTGGAATTGCTGCACCGCTATCCCCTGGAGGTGGTTGCGCAACCGCAACCAGATCTTCTACGTGCGATTCTCCAATCGCTCTAAGATCATCGTATTTCTCATCGTTGACAACCGGTTCGTTGTCACTTTGGTGTTGACCGTGGCACCCATGCCACAATCCACTCGACTTATCCAAATGGTGGGTTTTCGGCGCGACCTGCGTCTCGATGCAGTCACCGGAATCTGTTTCTATGGTGTAGCGATTAGCCACGTTATGGCCACGTGTATTCGTTCCAAAGGCCGAACCACATACGAGGCCATCGCACTCGCTCGTAGTACACCCACATGTTAGTGGACGCTCCATGGCGTTCATCAGATAATCATCTGATGGACATTTGAGAGGCATATCGACTGTTCGTCGATGCCAGCTGACTTGTGGCTTGTAGCTTCTTAGCCACGGCAGCCAAAGGATAACATCAAATCTCAAATTTGTCTTCCGATTACAGCATGATGAAGCCATCATTATATTAGAATCCCTTCAGTGTGTAGATAATACCCACTTCACGTTTCATCACTGCTACGGGGGAGCCTGTTGCGAGGTGCACCGTCATCCTCTTGGGAGAGATCTCGTGCTTGATATATTTGAGCTCGCTGTTGTCTAGATTAGCGTTCTAAAATTGTTAGACGCCACACAATCGACTAGGGCTCGAAGCGACATGTTTCGTGTTACTTCGAGTTTCAAGATAATGAGGAAAACATCTTACCAGAGGTGGCGTCACACAATGATTGAGTGTTGGGAGCAACTTTCGTCAAGAGGCCTACAAACTCACTTGACGTTGTTGGATAAGTAGGGTACTCACAACTTGACCTTGCTGAATCAGTAGGGTGCTCCGCACCTACTGCTTTTGACCATTTTTCGGTCGTTTGTTGCGGTGTTGCGTTTTCGCAACAGTGTCAAACCAACGCCTTGGACCCCGCTTGGCGGTTCTTGTTCCCGCGGTACGTGGTACCGTGTTCGGGGCACTGCATTCGTATCCATATTGTCCTTTCTTTTGACATCTATTGCATGCTTGCAGTTTTTGGTACTTCTTAGTAACACGAGAGCTCTCGCTTTCCGCGTGACAGGTGCCCATTGGTTCTGGGCCTCCACTTTTCTGTCGTCTCGACGAATAGGAACTCGAACTCGCGTGAGCCTGTTTCACGCTGAAGTCCCCCTGCTCCATAACCCTTATGGCATCTTGCTCAGTGTTGGATTTCAACCGGAAAGGTAGGTTTAAACGGGACCGTCAGTGAGACCCTGTATGAAGAACGTAATCAACGTTTGTACGTTCAGTGGCTCGACTGCTACACAACTGGAAAGGTGGCGTATGTACTGAATGCACTAGTGCTCGTTACGTTTCCCTTGCTTAATGTTCAGGGGTCAAAGCGAGCCCTGGACTCAGCTCGCGGCGGCTCAAATGTTCGCCTAATCAGGTACTCAAAGACTTGTAACGACCCAGAGCCATATGGGTCGTGCAAGGCCCAAGGCTCAGACCTCGCATGCCCTGCGTAATTCAATTGAGCAAGTGCAGATCTCATTTGCTCATCGATGATGTGGCGAGACTTTATGGCATCGGCTAGCTCCACGAACTATCTCAACAGAGAGTCTTAACTTTGAACTGTCAATCTTAAGAGCCTCGGTTTGACGTACACGCGTCGACCCAGTAGCAGTGGCCTGCTGATGTCGCAACGGTTCAAACTGTTGAGCAATGTGTTCTCTCAACAGCTTTGTCTTTTGAGAACGTCGTTGGTGAAGCAAGTTTACCTTTCCCTCTCCGCGTCAAGTTCATTCTGAATGAACATGGCGATGGTGGCGTGCTGCCTGTCTGGCCACAGGGCGGACAGCATTGCGCCATAGGCTTTTTGCCGTACCGTCGAACTCAAACGTTCGACGGCATCCATTTCCATTTGACTGAAACGGGAGTAGCATAAATGCGTGGGATATAAATCACCCCCCTCATCGTCCGACATGTTCATGGTCGTTGAACTGACCACGAAGTGCCTCCAGGTGTAACGGGGCACACCTTATTCAGCCAACTGAATAAACCTTGCATTACTGACAGTGCAAGGGTGTGTTCGTCCGACTACCTCACGTACACGTACATGCAGAGGAAGATTGCTAAACGGAGTTAGAGTGCTCAGTAACGGTAAAAAGTAGAAGTGTATGCAGCATGGTAAATCCTTGTAATCATTCTCAATTAGACTTCATTTGACTATGTCGAAATACGACATGTATTGTTACTATCCGTCCACCACTCGTTGCGTGCTTCTGTCATGGCCAGACTGATTGGTTGATATCTTGGTCTTTTATCGATTAATGAGCAGTGCGTTACATCTGCGAAGCAATATGATCGATTGAGGTTATATTGTGAGAATGTTGTGCTTGTCCTACCATAATATTCAACCTTGATAATTACCTCATGTAAATTATCATGTAATGGAGGTACCCCGTGGCGAGTACCAGAGCTTGCTCCTCTCATCTTTTATCTGAGCGGTCATTGAACGAGCTCGTAGAAGCCCCAATCGAAAACCTACCGGAGATTGGACCTTAGCCGCGGACACATCACCGGAGGGAGCACTATCAATGTTTGTTCGATTGTACGCACCGGTCGTGTGAGGGACCTCACAAAGTGTCCTCAGTGAGGTCGTTGTATACAGTTTGTAGCGTCTTCTAAATTTCTGCGAGCTCACGGTTCGCTTTTCGGACGCTTCTATCCAGCTGTCGTCTCTTTTGCATTGCCATATTCTTCAGTGACAGGCTGCAGTTGTGTGTTCAAGTTGGCATCACCATTTGCGGTGGGCACTGGTTCGCAGCATTCAAATGAGTGCTGCTCTTGTGTAAAGTTGGTGCAAATCTTCTGCCGGCAAGTGCGTTTCTACATCAATAACAGATTCGGTGATCTTGGAAGATTGAGTTGTCGATGCAGCATGGCCAGACGTACCCACAAATCTAACACGACCTATGCGGCGTATCGCAGAGACGGTACGATTGCAAATGCTGATAATAGCGACAACACTTAAGGTTCGTTCTATACAACATCTTTACATTACACATTCCTTAATAGCGAGAGCACGACCCACAATCCGCATTGATTTTGTTCAGTAATCCACTGACGAAGTTGTTGCACGAGACATCCACCTTCCAGACTTCGTCCGGAACAGATACCCTTTTCGATCGCCCAGCCAGGCATTCCCTCCTCTTCGCGTGTCAATACCCACGTAGCCTCCACACCAGTCGTTCATCGGGCACGGGCCCGTGCATAGATGTTCAAGATGACCAACAACAGATTTGAAGGAGCCATGCATGGGTTTGTCCATTGAAGATACGTCGATGAGCTGATTTTTCGAACATTGTGCCAAGTCCCGAGAATAAGAAAAGAACGATCGCCGAAGGCCCCGCAACGGTCACTTTTGACCAATGCACTGCCGTCTTTCCCCTGTCCCTCTTTTCCAATTGGCTAATGCACTCGGTGGCAATCTTCCCATCGTCTTCCTCATTGCATGGATCGAAAAAGAGAAGCAAATAAACGAAACCACGCGCTAAGAGCGAGCGAGTGGCACTCGCTAATATTCGGCCAACCGCGACGGTTACTCGAATTAACGCCACCACAACAGTCGATCACTCGATAAATTCAAACTCGAGGCTTTACGGACGTGCGGAAGGCCAACGAAGGCAAAAGATCGAGACAGCGCGGTCTAAGTTTTGTCTCTCTCGGCTTTTTTCTTCCTTCCATCTTGACGTTCGTTGGTCGTGAACCTCAGCAGACGCGACGGCACCAAAAAGACGCACGAGCTTCTTTTTTCAGTGCCAGCATCACACGAACATTTGCTCGAAGCTGCGGAGGTCGAAAGAGAGTGGTCAATGAGGGATCCTGCCACGTTGTGCATTGGAATGAAGCAAAAGTCGCGTCAAGACAGTCCCATTGGCCGAGTTGCCACCACGATGAGCACGGACGAGATGACCAAGCGCAAAGCCTCCAAGGCACGCTTTCTGTCCAAGGGTAACGAGGTGACCAACGGGTTGCCGCAGTTGCAGGATGGATGGAATCTTGCTACGATCAAGGAAGGCGGTAACCGCGCCAAGCCCGAAACACCCAAATTTCTACAGCTGCTGTACGAGATTCTAGAAGTGGAGAACCCTCGTGTGATCCGGTGGTCGGAAGACGGTCTGGCACTGCAGATCCTGGATCCCGTGACTGTCACAGAGCAAATCTTGCCCAAGTACTTTAACCACACCAACTTCCATAGCTTCCAGCGGCAACTTAATTATTTCGGCTTTCGCAAGTGGACCAAATCCAAGACGGACATTTGCACTTTTAGTCACCCTTTCTTTCGCGAGAACCAGCCAAAGCTGCTGCTGCTCATCAAACGCAAAAAAGCCCCACGTCGAACGCCAGCCAGCACGTCCAGCCGCATAAGTGCAGGCACAGCAGCGGTGAATTCGATTTCCAAGCTACGCTCGCCTTGCGGAAAGCGAAAATGTCCATCGGATGACACTAACGCAGAAGTCTTTCGTGCTCAAAAGACGAGCATGCACATTGGGATGATGAACTTGACAGCGGTCCGTGCCCAGTCCAAGCTTGACGAGATGCCGCTCAGCGCCATGACCACGCCGCACGGCTCTTCCTCAAACGACGCTCTGAGTTTTTCGCAGCATGGGTCAAATCGCCATTGTCCGTCGGAGCTGAATAATGTTATTTCTCCCTTGGCGGCCACGGAATGCAAGAAGAAGGCAAAGAAACTCGACAAGAAAGAACACGTGTCGACTACAACCATATGTACTCCGTTACCATCACCGAGCGATGTGTTCAAGTCAATCATTAATACGTCGGCTGGGCCGTTGACAAGTGCGCCAGCATTTGTGCCGTCGGGGTCGATGCCAGCTGGCAGCAAGAGCACTTCGTTGTGCAACAGTAGTTGCGCAAACTCTGATAGTGGGTATGCTCCTATTGTAGGACTCACTTCCACCCCACTGCCGACTCTGAGTATCGTGCGCAGTCGACTTATTCAGCGACAGCAGGCTAGTAAATTGGAAGAGCAGCAACAGCCAGACGTTCAGCAGCAGCAGCAGTATGACTACAAAGGGATCGCTGGATATTCAGCACCTCGTAATTCTCTGTGTACGAGTATGCCTGCGGTGAAGAATCGACCCGAGGTTTTAGTGCAGTCAATGGCCGTGGCTCCGGTCTCTCGAACAGAATTGAACTCAGGCGAGAGCGCTGGAACCTCAACCTCGTTCAGTGATCCAGTCAACATCCTTCTTCGTATAAAGAAGTCGCAAGCGTTGACTGGTGCAAGTCAGGATATGAGGACGGAAAAAGAGCGAGCTGACGATCAAGACAAGAACTTGACCTCGCTGCATGATTATCTGCTTGGATCAAGTTTATTTACCAACCGCCTGCAAGCTCAACTGAAGTCCATGTCAGAGGAGAACAAAGCCTTGAGGTACCTGCTAGACGCTAAACAGCGCGAGTTAAATGTGTTGCATGGAGAGCGAAAGGTGTTTCAGCAGGAAAATGCGGTCCTACTTGAAGACAAGAACAAGCTCTTCGAGATCAATCGTGACCTGTTAAGCAAACTGTTCCCGCAGTGACTGGGAAGAAATGTGAATGGCATTTTTGCCATGTGCTAGGGCGAATGCCCTAAGTCATGCATCGATTCGGCAGCAGTGACAAAGCGGCGTATATGCACCAGCAGGGCTGGCTCCTTGTGAAAGGCGAACGCATTCCCAGCTACTCTACCAACTAAACTATTCGACGAAGTAGCAGGACCGCTTTCAAAGTAATACCGCAATTTATTCGGGCAAATGATTAACCGTCAAGAACAGCAATAATCATCCGTCGCCGTGTACAAAACAACTAATTGTGCAAAATGAGAATTAACAACCAATTGTGTACGCTAAATCTGTTGTGCATTTCCAATGACTACATCGCTACATTCCTACTTAATTCTTGCAGGGGTTCGGCAAAATAGGTGGCGGAATCACATCTCGATGTAACCCACGCCCAGGACAGGACGTCCCACGCAATTGGAGGCCCGGTCCTTGTCGGCATGAGGTACGGATCAACCGCAGCGCCGCACGTTCAATAACCAATAAGATTAGCACTTGCGGAAGCAATAGCCTTTTTATCAAGCTTTTCCTCAGCAACTAGATCATAGTGGTGCATGTTTCCCCCAGCTCGATCGCTCTTTAAGAACGCTGTGGTCGATGATCTAGCCACGATTGGCATCAGCAGATCCACATTCGCTAGCCTGCTCATCAGGTACATATTTTGGAAGGGACTAGATTAGAGCCAGTAAAAACTATTAATAGTGGGTGAAGAAGCCACTTCACAAATTGCATGATTAAGCCTAATAAGGCATTTTATGCGCGACTATCGAGCACAGATGGTCACTAAATATGGCGAATGTAATTACTGTACATTCGTTCAGGCCGTCAATCCCGGTTCACCTGCCACATCTCCGATTATTAAGTCCATACGGTGGCCTGTATCTATTAAACGCGCGTAACTCTGAGCGATCCGGACCGATTTATGTTAAAAGACATTGCTCTAACAGGTCATGGAAACTCAGGGTGAAGACTGCAAGACCTGTGACAGGTAATGTAACGGGGTGAATCGTTACATAACAATTTATAAGAAATTGTTAATAGAATATAACTATAAGAGTCATATTCTCAGAATATTGTCATAAGGACAAATATTCTGTAGCACTTCCAAGTAGTTCCTAATTGGTTGATATAGGCCATTATATCAACCAACGAAGACGCGCCACGACGGACGCACGCAATGAGTGGTGAGCAGATAACTGATTTACACATTTGTATTTAGACATAGTTAGATGAAGATAAATAGTGATTTATTGCAGACATTAACTATTATAAATACAGTTCTACTTTTTACTCTAACCGAGTACTCGCTTCTTCTTACCGTCTTCCTCTGCACGTGCGAGTGTACGTGAAGTTACGAGGCACCGCCTTATTCTGTCATCAGAATAAGTAGCTTGTACTGTCACCAGTACAAGCTTCAGGGTGCCCCGTTCCACCTGGTAGCACTTCGTAGTCCGTCCAAGGACCGCGTTCACATCCAACATGAATATGTTGGATGATGAAGATGACCAAAGCTTTCACGCTACGCGTGACGGCTACTCCCATTTGAGCGATGTCGAATGGGATGCGGTTGAACGAATGGGTTCAACCATGGGCATCCATGCTGTTAGCGTCATGCTAGAGGCTCTCAATAGAGATGCCCAACATGCTACTATCGCCAAGTTCATTCAAAATGAACTTGACGCAGAACGCGAGAAAGTAGCCTTGCTTCACCAACAAGGTTCTCAACAAGCAGAGTTGTTGAGAGAACAAGGTGCTCAACAGTTTGAACTGTTGAGACAGCAGCAGGCTGCTGCTGGCGGGTCGATGCACTCGCGTCGACCCGAGACTTTGAAGATTGACATCTCAAAGTATAGGGGGTCGAAGAAGACTCCCTCTTGAGATGGTTCGTCGAATTGGATGACGCCATAAGGGCGCGTCGCATCGACGACGGGGATATGCAAGTTGCATTTGCCCAGTCAAATCTGGCAGGACGTGCCAAGACTTGGGCACTGGGGCTCAAGCTGCACGACCCATATGCGTTTGGGTCGTTGGAAGTCTTCAAGTCGCGGCTCAGACAAACGTTTGAACCGCCTAGAGCTGAGTTCAGGGCTCGAACCGAACTCTTGAAGCTCAAGCAGGGTAAGCGTGATGTGCACGCTTACGCTCAACACATACGACATCTTACGAGTTGTATAAGTTCCAATCCAGTGGATGAACACACGTTGGTTTCGGTGTTCATGCAGGGTCTTGCGGATGGTCCCGTCAAGACTCACCTGTTCCGGCTTGAACTAGATTCACTAGAACAAGCCATTTCCATTGCGGAGCAGGAAGACTTCAGTCTGAGACAGGCTCGCGCCAGCTCGACATCATATCGTCAACCGAGACGATATGACAACGGAGGTCCAGAGCCGATGGAACTCTGTTATGTAGAGAGCGAGAAGGCTCGCTCTACAGGCTACAAGAAGTTGCAGAGATGCAACAGATGTCAAAAGACAGGACACTACGCTTACGAGTGTAGTGCCCCTCGTCCAGTGTCTCGCGACACTGGGCGTAGTGACCGTCCACCCATGAGAAAGGGGCAGGGACGAGGGTCCGCAGTTGGTGCAAAGACGCAACAACGGGATGGACCGTCAAAAAACGGACAGGATCAGTAGGTGCGGAGCACCCTACTGATCCAGCAACGTCAAGAGAATTTGTAGGCCTCTTGATGAAGGTTGCTCCCAACACACAGACGTTGTGCGTTGCTGCTCTAGGTAATGAGATCTCACTCATTACCTTGAAACTCGAAGTGACGAACAAGTTGTCCCTTCGAGCTCTAGTCGATTGTGGGGCGTCCAACAATTTTGTGCGACGCCAATCGCTAGAAGATGGTCACTTTAAATTCAGTGAATGTGACACACCTCCTACGAGGATGACGGTACGTCTTGCGACAGGCGCATCCGTAACCGTCATGAAGCGTATAGTGAAGATTCACTATACGCTAGAAGATACCCAATACGACGATGACTTTATCGTATTGGATTTGGATGACAAATTTGATGTCATCCTTGGAATACCGTGGCTCAGAAGGTACGAACCACGGGTAAACTGGCAACATCGGACAGTAACGATGCCTGCCGCTTGTTCATCAGATGGCCATCTGATGAACGTTTTGGAGCGTCCACAAGCGTGTGGATGTACTACGAGTGAGTGCGATGGCCTCACTTGTGGTACGGTCGTTAGTACGACTGCACAAAACCTTAGTGTACCAAACGGTTACACTTCGGAGCAAAGTTCCGGCGGCTGTGAGGAAACACAGGCTGCGCCGAAGGTCCACCACTCGAATAAGTCGGGTGGACTGGGACAAAGATGTATCCCTAGAGGGGAACATCTAGAAGAGAAACAATCGATCGCTCAGGTTAAGCGAAACGATAATCCTAGATCGACTGGAGAGTCTTTCGTAGAGGATCTCGCTGTGGTTGCGCAACCCCAGCTAGAGGAAGTAAAGGGAATAAGTCCCAAGATTACAAATACGGCGGAAATAAGTTCCCCGAAACCCGCGGGAATAAGTCCCCGGGAAGACGAAGGAATAAGTCCTTCGAAGCCTGAGGGAATAAGTCCCCAGGAAATGACAGAGACATTGAATGTCATAGTCAATAACGGATCATGTGTAGGCGCTTATACACTTGATCTGATTGCGCCTCCGAAGTTAACTTCGGAGATCACTCAGTTGCCAACGCTCGAACATAAAAGGTTCTTGCGTGATCTGCGTAGTGGCAAAGTCAAGCAGATCTGCATACTCGTCGCTGACGACGAGTATGTAACCGACATAAGGTCAGCAACAGTGTTTACTGAGAACGAGAGAGTTCTCAGTAGTTCATCTATGGACGAGAGTGTCCTAGATGAAAAGACACGAATTGAGCGATATGAGTCCCAATCATGGGAATCGCTCAAGGAAAATCCTCTCTATGAAGATTTGGTTGAATTCAAGGATGTATTCCCTGAAACTGTTCCGTGCGAATTACCGAAGGATAAAGGTATTCGACACGAAGTCGAGCTTAAACCAGGCTCGAAGTACTGTGTCATGAAGCAGTGGCCACTGCCTCGTGAACAAGTACTTGCGATCGACAAGTTCTTTGCCGATCGTTTAGCAGCGGGCCATGTGAGGGAATCAACTTCCCCACATAGCTCTCCGACCTTCTGTGTGCGAAAAGCAACAGGAGGGTGGCGGATAGTGCACGCGTTTAACAAATTGAACGCTGCAACGGTACCGGCTCAGACGCCGATACCGAGGAAGGACGTAATCATTGATGGTATGTCAAAGAGTACCATCTTTTCGTCCATGGATTTGATGGATGGCTTCTATCAAATCCTAATGCGGGAACGGGATATACCCTATACCGCAGTTAGCACGCCTAGCGGCATGCTCTGGGAATGGCTAGTAATGCCACAAGGGCTCAGTAATGCCCCTGCCACGTTCAACAGGTGTGTATCACATCTGTTGAGGCCAGTACGAGAATTCGCGCCGAGTTATTTCGATGACGTATTCATCCATAGTCGAGCTATGGATGGAAAGTCGGACGTTGAGGTTCACAGGTACCACGTCCGACAAGTTCTTACAATCATGCGAAAGCATCAATTGTATGCAAACCTCAAGAAGTGTATATTTGCAGCAAGCGAAATACCACTTCTTGGGTGCATCGTTGGTAAGAACGGTGTACGTCCTGATCCCGAAAAGATCAAGGCGATCACCGACTGGCCTGTGCCGGTCGATGTCAAAGGTCTTCGAAAATTCCTTGGGCTAGCGGCGTATTTGCATAAGTATTCACGCAATTACGCCGAGATGACTGTACACCTCTCTCGTTTGTTGAAAAAGAACGAGAGGTGGTTATGGAACGCTGAATGTCAACGCTCCTTTGAGGGTATCAAGCAGAGCTTGATACAATCCCCAGTCCTAGCAATAGCCGATCAGGACAGGCCATTTCATGTGGTCTGTGATGCCAGCGATTTCGCAATCGGCTGTG